ACTTCAGGTTGTTTAGGTCCTTACAGCAGCCTTGCAAAGCTTAATCCAGCAGATCACCTGCAATTTTTCTCTCCTGCTTAATTTCTCGTTTTGAATCTCTGAGTAATGGACGTGCCCAACCACAGTTGATGCTTAAATGGCATTTGTTGAAAGGTATTTTTATTAGTCACAGATCTCTACATCCCCCTTAGCGCTGTGTTTGGTACCACGTGACACTCTGAACCCGTGTCAGAATTGGCTCTGAGGGTAATTTTTATTTTATTTTCTCAATGACAGGAATCAAGCATCATTGACTTCTACCCTGAAGATTTTGCTATTGATTTAAATGGGAAGAAATACGCTTGGCAAGGTGAAATTTCAACTTCTTTTTTTCCTTTTTTTTTTTTTTTTTAAAGAATCTGTAAGAATAGGAAGGAACTGGGAAATTATCTTAGTAAGTCACACAGGTACCTTGTGTTACTTGGTGTGGGGACAAGTGTTTTCCAGCAGGTGTATTTTTGAAAAGAAATCACTACGAAGAACAAATTATGGTTCAGTAACTGATTTTGGATTGGCAATGATTATTAGTCATTTCAGCAGCCATTCCAGATTTGTTAATTTTTCCTGAACTAGATTAATCATTCTTCTGTTTTTATCAGCCTCCCTGTGTAATTGTCTTTTGTCTCCTTTGCATTTAATTAATGGATCTTGTTCTGCTCAATCAGTGGCTCATTAGTACTGTGCCAAAAATGCTTTGGGGAATATAGAAATATTTGGGAGCATACAAAGAATGAAAAAAGAGCTACAGTATTTATGCAGCTTTTTCTTTCCTTAGAGAATATTAATTTTCAGGGTCTGCCAAATTCTGTGGGTGGTTACACTGTGAGTAATTTCACTGCAGGTGAAGTTTTGGGTTGTCCTTTCCTTCAGTTCTAGGACAACAGTGTTTGTTTTAATGAAGCCACGTAAAGATCTGACTTCTGAAGCAAAAGTGTTTCAGGCAGACCAAGTTTTAAATTGGGAATTCACAGTGGGAGTTCAGAGTCCCTGTGAATGTTGTGCCTTAAAGAGATGGCAAACCACTGAACTGGTGCAGGCAGGAAACTCTCAATATCAGCTTTTTGGGAAGCCTCTCCTGTCACCTTGGCCAGGAAAAGCTCTGGTGTTCATGGCAAGGGAAATAAACAAAATTAAAGTGATTACTCCAGATTCCCACCAATAATCAGAGCGACAGAAGCGAAAAATTTGAAGAATTTTCGTAGTAAATTTCCCAGGGCTTTTTGATTTTTGTGGTGGAAGGAAACCCTTTCTTGGCTGAGGAAATCTATCAGAGCTTTCCATCCTAGTCTGGCTTTTTTTTGGGGGTTGTTTTGGGTTTTCTCGACAGGTGTGAAAAAAGAGTGTTTTGGTTTTGCAGGTGTCGCATTATTGCCCTTTGTGGACGAGCGACGCCTCAGAGCTGCCCTGGAGGAAGTGTACCCTGACCTCACCCCCGAAGAGAGTAAGAGTTGGGGTATTTTGTTAAAGAATTGGGATATTTTGTTGCCTCTTGGGTGTTGCGCCCTAAGTGAACAAGGTGTGACAGGTGTTTGGTTGGGTTGAGTTATGGCAGACTCTTCTTCATGGGCTCTGCTGGTAATTAGAGTGATCCTGCTGGGTTTGTTTTTGTGGCTTAAAGAGGCAAACGGAGGTGTTTGTTTCTCCATTTTCTGGTGGGTGAGCTGTGGGAGGCGTGTGGGGCCTGGGGGATTTTGGGTTGGGATTTTTACCCGGCCCATCTGGATCTGCAGTGTTACTCTGCATTAAATTCAACTTTCCTCCCACTGAACACGAGATTCCTGCTGTTTTACTGTCTGCCAGCTGCCCCTGTGACCAGAGCCATCCTGCTCTGGGCAGAGACTGTCCTTCCTACACTCTCCAGAAATGTTCAAAGCTTTCTCCCCAGTCACAGTGAAGCTTGGCTTTTGTGAAGGTGTCACCAGGACAGCATTGCAGGTCTACCGTGTTCCTTCCTTCCCTCTTTGCTCTGAACTCTTATCCCACTCCCTTGACCTTTCCAGGCAGAAGGAACAGCCTTGGTGGTGACGTTCTCTTTGTTGGGAAGCACCACCCGCTCTGTGACTTCATCGTGGAACAGTACAAGACCAAAACCACAGAGGTGGGTTGTGCTTGTCCTCGAGGGCCTGTGGGAGTGGGGAGGTTGAAGGTCTGATCAAGTGCTCCAGCTGAGCAGCTCTGCCCTCCCCAGGCAGTGGACATCCCCCCGGAGCTGTGCCACGGGATCCAGGGGAAGCTGACCCTGAACGACAACGCCGTCCTCCCGGACCAGTGAGTGTGGCCTGGGCTGGGTTCTTGGTGCCCAGGGACCTTCCCTTCACTTAGAAGTATCTTTGTGCCCACAAGAAGCTTAAAGCTCCCAGCAAGGCTGTGTGTGTAGGTTCTGAGGCTCAGCACTCGTGGCCTGAGGGTTCAGAGCGGGTGTGTGTCACCTCCAGCACATGGAAAATCCCAACCAAGGGAAAATTTCATCCCACAATCCTGCTTTTCTTAGCCTCAGAACTTGGCTTTTAGACCAGCCTCAGAAATCTTTGAAGTGCCCTGATGTGTGTAGTTGCTGGTGAATCTGGTTTTGTCTGTGATTTCACCTATGGAAGGCTGATTTTTATGGATTTAGTAGTTGCTTTATTAGGTAAACAAGGCCTGGGTAGCAGAAGTCGTAGTGCTCAGGGGCCTTGTTCAGTAAGGTTGTGTTGGTTTGGCCTCTCTGCTTTTGTATGAATATGAATGTGGGCTGATGTGACTTCCCTTTAGTGCACATTGCCTAAAAAACCCAAACTCTGCTTTTTATATGCTAACCTGCATTGCATTAGAGAAAAATCCAGATAGTGGTATCTAAGATATATTTTACCTTTGTCCATTTGTCCTGTAGCACTGGATTCAGGACTGTTCCCAGCTACACATGCGAAGAATGCTCATATTTTTTGTTTCCTAGAGAATGCATTTAGTCAGAGAAATGATCAGAGTAATCCTCACCTTTCATTTCTCTAACTGTGCTCGGAGACATAAGCAGGTGTTCAGTAGCTCGTTTGCATTAAATGCACAAACACTGGCTTTGTTGCACAGATAATGGATCCCAGGCCACACTAATGGGCATTTCTCCATTCTTGTCATGGCTGGTGAGGAACATGAGCAAGTCAGAGCTGTTCTTGGGAGGAACAGGAAAAAGAAAACTCTTGTGGCATTGAGAAATAAGGATCTGGTCAGTCCAGTCCTTATAGAAGTGCTGGATTTAGGGGAAAGGCAAGTTAATTTTCAAATCCCTGTTAGGTGTCACAGGCTGAGTTGACAGAGCACCAGGGGAAGAGCAGCAAGTGGTGAGAAATGTGTTACCTGATGTTTTGACAGAGGTTTTTCTCCTGCCCAGGGTGGTGGAGTCTCCTGTTCCGATGCTGCGGGATCTCACCCAAAACTCTGCAGTCAGGTCAGTGACCTCTGGGTTTAATGCAGTGGGGTACAACACACAGCAACCAAAACTCACTTTATTGTGGTGTTTTCTTGTTGGATTTGCAAGGCTCGGGCCTGTAACCTTTCACTTCTTGAGCCACATAAGGTGCCTGAGACACTGAAAATCACCTGTGATCTGTCTGTGTAATTTTTTCCTTCAAAGAGGCCCAACTTGGTTCAACTAGAACAGGCAGGAAGAAATGCTGAGTTGTGGCTTGTCAGGATGCTGTGGGAAGGATGTTCTAAATGGGGATGTAGTTACTGTGAGTAATGAGTTAAAGAAAGGTTTTGGCTTTCCATCTGCCACTGTCAGGGGCTCTGAGTTGTTCTGCACTTCTCTCCATCTCTCTGTCGCAAGGATTTTTCTTCCTGTCCCTGGAGATGGTATGAGCAGTCAGGGTTCTGCTCTTCAGCTCCTGTGACTGAGGCTGAATTTTCCAAGGGGCCATTATTCACTTTCCTTGGAGTCTCATTCATTCCTGGTGTCGAAAAGCAGATATATCTCAGCTGGAAGAGCGAGATTATTCTACTCAGCCATTTGCTTTTAGCTTTCTTGGCACCCCAGGCATTCTTCTGTGTCAGATGGTAGGTACTGAGAGAACAGGTTGGTGTCTTGTGCTCCAAATGTGTCCCTGGTGGGACCTACCTGAGAGCTGGATACTACACCAGGAGATGGGCATTGCAAACCCAGTGCTCTGTAATGTGTTGTACCAGTAGAAATGAAGCTTTCAGGCAATTTTTGCTCTATTGCTATTTAGTTTGTCTGGTACTAGACAGCCCAAAGCTCAGGGTCTGTGAGGTGTCACTGAAAATAGGGATGCATCCCTCCACGGGAGCTGCTTGGAGCTGCCTTTCAGGATAAAAATCCCCGCTCTGGGAAATCCCACTTGTAGCCAAGTACCCCTGGTCCCCTGCCTGTGGGAGCCTTTGAGCTCCAGCAGGCACAGCCAGTGCTTTGGCTGCTCAGGGGTCTGCAGAACAGCCTTTCCTTCCCATACGTGGGTCTGAATGGTTTCTGGGCATGGAACTTCCTTTTTGGAACAGGGGAGAAAAAAAAGGTCACCCTCTGGAAAATAATGGAGACATCCCAGTCCAACATATCCATATGCAAGAAATTCCCTCTGCAGTTTAAGTCCTGGGTTCATGGCTCTTTCCTGTTGTGTGCATCACTGTTGATAAAGCAGTGGTTGCTTTTCACTTTGGCTTCATTATGAAGTGAACCTAATCCTCAAATATTTTCTCCTAGCATCTCCTTCAAAGATCCACAGTTTGCTGAAGACTTTGTTTTCAAGGCTACGGTGTTACCTGGGGCAAAGTAAGTGTCAGCTCTCGGCTTTCAAACAATCCCGGTGTGATTTATTCATCCGAGTGCTGGCTCTGATAAATATTTATGGCACTGTTTTTATCCCTAAGGAAACCTGCTCCGGTGCTGAAGCCGGGAGACTGGGAAAAAACCAACAATGATGGCAGGCCTTGGAGGCCACAGCTGGGCTTCAACCGAGACAGGAAACCAGTGCACTTGGACCAGTCGGCCTTCAGAACCTTGGGGTGAGTCTGCTGGGGGGACTGGCTGCCCTGCTGGGGTGGCAACCCTTCTGTTCTGCTTCTTAATGAAAAACAAAGAGGGTGGGCATGGACTGTCTTGGATGTTGGTGTTCCAAACTTCGGCGTCCGATATTTAAAATCAGTGTTCTGCAAACAGATCATTACAGTGATTTTGCCTTACTTGCTTCTTGATGTTATTTTTTTCCTCCTAAATGTTTCTAACTTCGCTTTCCTGCTGTTTTGGCTTTTTTAAAACTCGTTTGGTGGATACTTGCTTGAAGTACAGAAGGTACAATGGGAATATTGCACGCGAGTGATAATTAAGACTGTTAATGAAGACAGGAGTGTCTTTTATGCTTTTAGAAATGAAAAAGCTGTAAAAACCTGGTGCTGCACCGTACAATCTGTTTGATTGTCCCTTTGCCAGGCACTGCCACAGTCAGTTTTTGTTAGTTGTCCAGAAATCCAAGTGACTTGCAGGTGCTGCAGTGTAGTGTGAGAATGGGAGAACAAGCTGGGGTTGTGTATCACATAAAAATTAAAGTTAAGTGCCTTTCCACACTGGGGAGTGCAAGGAGCCATGCATTTATCAGAGCCAGAGAAGAGAATGTTTTAAAGGACACTAATTCTAGCAAATAAAATTGAAGTCTGAAGTGTCTCTTTAGGAAGAGAAAATACTTTTATTATCTTAGGGATCTGGAGGAACTGGAAAAAGAAAAGGCACCACCTTTCCCTGCACTCGTGTGCTGGGAAGCAGAGTTGTTCTGGGGCTGGACTTGTGAACCCTCTTCTGTCCTTCCTTGCCACAGTCACCAAGAAAGGTCCAGCTGTGTTATTGAAAATGTGAGCACTTCCCCGGGAGCAGCTCCCAGGGCACGGACGTGTGTGGGGATGTGCCTGGGCCCTGATCCACGAGCACATCCCTGCCTCGTGCTGGCACGCTGCAGAGGGCTGGGGCTGTGGATGGGCCAGGTGGCAGCTGTGCTGCAAGATGGAATTCACCACAACACCCTGATCTTTCTCCTCTCCTCTCCTCGCTCGGCGCAGGCACACGATGCTGAGGGACAGAGGGATGCCAGGGATGTATCCCAACGCCGTGCCCATCGGAGCCTACGGGACCCCCTACGCCAGGCCCCTGCTGGGGGGGCAGCAGCAGATCCCCAAGCTGTTGTCAAGTAAGTGCTTGCTGCATTTCAGAGCTTGGGTTTGGGCTGCTCTGTGGCACCAGCACAAGCAATGAGTGGGTCCAGGCACCTGCTCGTGTTGCTCCTCTCTGTTGCTCCTCCTTTATGGGATTGCTGTAGGGAAATGTGCTGAAATGGAGCAGAGTGCCTGCAAGTGGGATCCCAGTTGGAATCCTGTGCTCTGGATTCAAATGGAATAGCAAAAGTAGCACTGTAAAACCCACCCATACCAAGGGTTCCTGGTGCCTGTTACTTGGAACATATTCCATCTGTGGTGGAATCTCAGCATCACCAGGAAATCCTGTGTGACCCAAAATGGAGTTCTTCACCCCGGGAAGGAAGTGCTTGTGCTCTTGAAAAAGGGTCCTGGTCAGGAGTTCTGCCTCTTCACCTGTGCTCAGGTGGGATTGAGACAGGAGGACACTTGGTTCAACTGCCTAAGGAGGTGTGAAATCCTGCAGTATTGAATTCTGCAAGTGTTGGGCATCTGAAGAGCTGACACAGATGAAGTTTGAGCTCCAGAGTTTTGTCCCATCTAGACTGGTTGCTGCCCAGTGAAGCTGTCACCCTCTCTGTATCTTGCTGGCATCTTTGCTGAATATCAGACAGCAAATAAATAATATCAGTGGCCACTGACCGAAACTCAGTGTCCAGTCCCAGAGCAGAGGAAGGGAAGTTGAGTGGTGAGTGCTGATTTCTTGTGCAAGGAACCAGATTGGTTTAAGTAGAGAGGTGGATTGAATATGAGCCTGGAGGGATTAACTTGGGTTAAAGGAAAACCTTTTTTTTCCTTTTTTTTTAAACAAACAAGAAACACGAGAAGGCAGAACCACCAGACAGGCATCACCTTTTCACATTCATCTTCCAAAATCAGAAAGTTTGTGTGGCTTTGGGGAGAAAGTTTTCAGGAGCCCAGCGGTTCCTGTACTGCTGTTCCTGTCAAGTCTTGGCACTCTGTGGGAAAGCTGCTCCCTCTGTCTCCTGTCCCTGGAGCTGATCCTGCCAAGGAGGTGCTCACAGAGCTCTCATCCAGCCGCCGCTGTCCGGAGCCAGTTCCTGGCGCTGTGTTTCCGTGGGAGAGGGCAGTGCAGCACGCTGCAAATGTGTTCCTTGGCACTTCACGGGCTTGTGCTTCTCCTCCTCTTCTGACAACACCGAGCTGTCCTAGGAGATTAGTCTTAAACTCTAATTAACTTCTAATTTACACTGACTGCTGCGTGAAGTCTCAACGACTAATTACGGCAGCGCTTGACTCTGGGTTTGGAGATGGTCTTCCTTTCAGTGCCTCCTTGTTTAACAGAGCTGTGAGGGCAGCTCGTGCCCATCAGTAGGATGGATGCAGACAGCGTGAGGGATGTTCTTGCTCCCTAGAAGGACTTCCCAAAACACATCCTGGAGCCTGGCTGGTGGGTCAGGCCCCGGCCCACCTGAGGATTGAAGCACACGTGTCTCAACTGCTCTTCTACAATTCCTTAAACCCTTGTTAGAGGTCGCCTCCAGGTGTCATAGCCTGGCATTCCTGCTGGGATCAGCCTTTTGGGTGTTCACACTGAGGGATGTGTTTGGGAATGGGCCCTACCCCAGCTGTGTGAGAGAACCACTGTCCGGTGTGGCACAGTTGGACTGGGAAGCGCCTGGAACCCACACGTTCCTGAAAAACCTCAGCTGACGTGGTTAAAACTCCCACATTTTGTGGGATCAACGCAGAGCAACTTTCCATTTGCTCTCTGGTGTGCCCCTGTGTAGGCTGCAGCACAATCAGCCCCCGAAGGGCGATGCAGTCGGGCCGAGTGCCACCTCTCCCTTGAGAGCCGGCTGGGGGTGTTCCTCGCCGGTGCTCCCTGATTTCACTCGGATGTGCCAATTTTCAGCTGATGAATAATTGTCTGTGCTGATAACTTGGGGAGTCAAGTGCGGGGTGGCAGCGCTCTGGGAATGGCAGGTCTGGTTTCTGCAGCGCAGGACATCTGATTTATGACTTTCGTCGCAGTCGGTAAACTTGTCAATTAGCTGCGTTTGAAAAGTGATCTTGATTAGTGCAATCAGTAAACACAAAATCTTGCCTTTGATTGCCACCCTGATTAGATAAATTGTTGCTTGAGGAGCTACTAGAGAAGGCAGTTTCTTTGGCCTTATAGCTCAGGAAGCGCCTAAGTTTTGCAGCCTAAAGAAAATATTAATTGTCATTTCTTCTCCCATTTGGTGTCTTTTTGAAGTGCAATTCACTGCTCCAAGCTCTTTCCCTCCAAGATCGTTCTGCCAGCCGTACAAATGAATAGTAATAAAGTGGATTTAAATGTCTTTATGATGATTTCATTAAACTCTTTCTTAAACTGTTCCCTAGAGCTGCAGAGAGGTGTGGTTGCAGCAGGAGAGCTGGGTCCTTTCTTGTTGACATGGAAAGGAAGGGTCTGGAAACATGATGAGCAGAGCTCAGCTCTGCTGTGTTTCTGGGGCGCTGCTGGCTGTGAAACTTGGGAATTATTAGAAACAGTCATCTTAGGGTGTTTTTGGTTGAAAGTGGTGACGCTCTTGGGGTGTCCCAAACTTAAAATTTTATGTGTTTTTTAGCAGTTTTGTCTTTGTAGGTTTTTTTCAAAGCTCTGGTTGAACCCGGTGTGTTAATTGCTCGTTTCCCCCAGAGCAGCACTGTGGGTTCTCCTGTGCTGCCCTCCCCTTGTATTCCAAAGCAAACATGGCGTTGTGCGGGCACAGCCTGTTTGGCCCTGGAAAGGCCTGACCAGGGGGAAAGTGCCACACATCCATCTTCAGTCCTGGGCGTGCTTTGGGCTGGTTTGGTTGGAAATTGGGTGGGAAATAACCGACTGTACCTGCTGAGAGCATGGGTGGGTAACAGTGTGTGTGTACAGAGAGAGGTTTATTTATTGGCTGATGTAGTTGTGTGTACAGATGTAATGTTTAATAAACAACTCTGTATGAAGTACAGATAAAGAACTGTGGGCTGGACTGGCTTTGCTCCAGCAGGAAGAGCGGAGCCGCCGGGGATGGGGATTTATCCCCGTGTTCTCCTTGCTGGGGGCTGCTCACGCCCTGCCCTGCACACCCAGAGAGAGGTTCCTGCCTGGGACAGAGCTGGGAGACAGGCACAGATTGATTTATTTCATTTTTCCCTCCTTCCCTGTGGAATTCTCGCCAGGCTTCCGCGCCCTCAGCCCTTGGCAGCGTGCCGGGGTGTCCGTGTCCCGGCGTGGCCGTGCTCCAGCTGCTGGAAGCAGCTGTTGGAACGAGGTCCCACTCGAAGGCCATTGAAAGCCATGAAAGGTGTCAGTGGAGCTGCAGCCTTTGATTGCCGCCCGCTCGGGGCGCCGGGGCTGCCCGGGCGCCATTGAGGGGCTGCTGCTTTTATCCTGTTTGCTGACCAGGTTATTTAGAGGGACAGCAACCGTTTAATTGCGTGTCCTGCCGGAGCAGTGCCGGCCCTGCCTCGGCTTTGTAAAGAGCTGGTTTGGGTGGAGGGGACAATGGAGAAGTGGGTGGTCTCCCGTGCTGCAGCGCCGGGGCTCCGGCCAAGTTTTTTTACCCAAAAAAGGCTTAATTCAGTCTGATTCCATTATCTCAGAGGTCATTAATAGATTTTTTTTTTTATTGTTATACGATCATCGACTAAGTTAACTCCTTTACCATCTTTAATGATGATACATTTCTGTTTTATATTATTGAATCCTTTATGTTTTGTATCCTAAATATAACTTTATTTAAACATGAATAAAGTGGAACTGTTCACTTTATTCCACGCCCTGGTCATCCTTGTGGTTTCCTTTATGGAATAACTTAGCCCAATCAAAGGGAAGCTGGCCAATTTCCCATACCTGCCAAAAGCCTAAATATTTAGACTATTACACATTTGTGGCTGACAAACATGGTGTGTCGTGGTGATGATGCAGCAGGGGGGTGTATCTGCGTTTTTTATGGAGTGATGAATGTACTTGGAAGATTAAATTGTTAGGGTAACAGACAAGGTTATGCATCTCTAACAATCCAGTAGGAGACACCTGTGAAGAGTCCAAGCACTCACCAGAGTAGTCCTGGCAATTCCAGCTCATTATTCTTATCACCTGAAGCCTGTTGGGCGTACTGAAACCGAAAAGGTTGCCTTTTATCAGCTCCCAGCAGGGCTCTGTCCAAATAGGCAGCAGGAGCTGATGGCTTGGAGTGTGTTTGTGGCATATCCAGCCTGAGCTTTTCTGTTTGGCTCCTTGAAAGCACACCCAGGAGTGGAGCACGGCTCTTGAATTGTTACACTTGCTCTTTCTTATTTTACCATTTTGTTTCTGCCCTCCAGACCTTCGGCCGCAGGAGTCCTGGCGAGGCCCCACGCCCTTGTTCCGGCAGGCACCACAGAGGTAAGGCAGGAGGGGTTGGCAGCTCTGTGAGACCTGCCCAGGAGGGTGGATTGGGGCTCTGCCAGCCTTCCCAACGTTTGTTTTTTCCCCTCCTTTGTTTTGAACGTTGCCGTTTAAGTTTGTCGAAACGATGCCGTACAGCGGGTTTTTTAAGTTAATTAAGGTCCGTGATTTATTTATGTTTTGAGAGCACACTACGTGGTGTTCATCCTTTAAAAGGCTTGAGTAGTTTGAATTAAAAAAAAAAAACAAAAAAAACCCCACTTTCCATTAAAACTCAGGCTTCAAAATTAACTTTACTGTTGGTGCTTTGGTACCGTTCTTGGTTCTTTGGCCTTTATCTTATTGAAGCTTTTGAGATACCATGAAATTGGACACAGAGAGCTTAAAACTGCATTAGATTTTTGGACAGGCTAAACAAATTTCTTTTTAGGAGGGCTGTGGAGCTTAATGAGGCATAACTAATGGTGTTCCACTTTTATCATTTCTGTGCTGCAGCCGCAGCATTAGTACAGACCAGCCATTGATTCTTGCTACAAACCTCTTGAAGTCCTAATCAGCTTCTTTGGTACAAGTTTTTCAGGGCTGACAAGCCCATTGTAGGGCAGTGTCACTGTAGGTCAGTAGTTATTAGTTGCCACTGAAAACAGTTTCTTTAACTACTTAAGGCTGAACTGAATTAAATGCAGAAGGGACTCAGGGAAGGATTATGGAATCTGCAGTCCAATAAGTGCCATCGAATAGAAGGAATGTGACATGGTTTGATAATCAGGGATGTTTTACATGCATTCCTTCATTGATGGCTTGTGTGTCCTTCAGTGGGGGGACTCAATAAACTCAGGGTACCTGTGGCAGCTATGAATAATGATATTTATTTCTGTTTATGGAGGAATGGCAGAGCACATAAGGGATGTTTCTGCACCGAGGGTTTTTTCCCTCGGTTTTATTTGCAGATGTTGGCCATTGAAAATATGGGCTTTGGGAGAATTTATTGAGCTCTCCGCAGCCACTTTCCATGGCAACCATTTTGATCCCCACTGAACCAAGTCTGGCTCCCTTGTCCTGTGCCTCATCCATGTGGAATATTGCAAGGCAAGGTCTGTTTATAATGCAAGCTTCAATATTGCTTGGGCCATGGGAGTTGCTGCTCCCACACCCTAATTAAATCCAACGTATACAGGACTATTTTCTGAAGGATCGCTGCAGGTCTGTCACTCGTCCTTGCCTTTTCTTTGTTGCACCTTGGATGGTTTATGAAAATCTCTGACTTGCCAGCTCTGAGGATCAGTACTTTTGCCGTTTCCCTGGAAGGTTTGGGATTTGGGAAGCAGATCAAACCTGCTGACGTCGAGGGAGCTGCTGTACAAAGACAAGCACAGAGACTTAAGCAGAAGGTTAAACACAGGGAGACTTGGTGCAGGAAATAATGTCTGAACCTGTTGAATTGACCCCTGCAAGGGATTTTGGGTTTCCCAGTTCGTTCCCTGGGAGCTGCAGGTTTCCCAAACTGCCTCCCCCCGGGGCTGTTCCCACTTTGCTGCTGTGGCTTCAGGTGCTCCAGGAGCAACAAGGTGCCAGGGGGGAGAGCAGCCAGGCATTTCTGTCCTCTGTCACCTCTGTTCCCAGGAAGAAAGTAAGTGAGGGAGAGGCCAGCCCTGCTGCTGCCCAGAAAGCTTGGAGCCTTCGTGCTGTTCCAGGGATGGAGTGTTGCAGGGGGGCTAAAGCAGCTCTTGTTTGCCAGGCCTGAGGGGAATAAAAACCAGGAGTGTAAAGCTGCTTCTCCATAGTCCAGCGGGTCCTGCCTCCTGTGTGGGATCTCTTACTCTTAAATCAGTGCTGCAGTGCTACCTGGCTGAGGGACATTTCCTGGCTGAGGGAAATGGAGCAAAACCGTTTGCTTGACCTGCTCACAGAAGAGATTTCCAAGGAGTCTGAGCTTGGGACACGGGGATGTTTGACAGTGTAGTGTCTCCTGAGGCTGTCTTTGAGCTGTCCTGGCTGAATATGCTTCAGCTGAATCATGAGTTGGGGTAACTCTGGGCAGTGATTTGAATAATTCTGCCAGTGTGAGCTCCTGGGATGTTTCAAGTGGCACAGTCCCTTTTTGGTTGCAGCTTTTGCTGTGTGCAAATCTCCACCCTCACCAATTAATAGATCCACTGGATGAACACAAAGTCAAGTGCTGTGAGTCCTGTAATTTCCATATTTCTTGTTTACAAGATGAAAATCTAATTAATTTTTTTTTTAATAATACATAGTTCTGTGAATTAAGAACAGGCTTTAATGCATCCATGGTAGTTCTGACTGAAAATCACCAATTTCACTGTTTCAGATGGCCTTGAGCAAAAATGCCCCAACAACATCATGTAAATATTGTTGTGTTTAATTTGTTAAATTCCTAACTTTTCACTGAACATCACTTAAAAATAACAAGTTTAAACTCTGTGCCAAGTACATATTAATGACAGATGAAATTTGTGTCAAACTTTCCCATTCCAGGCATGGAGCAAGTGCTGGCCTGTGACTCTCAGTTGTATTTATCACCAGCACTTGTTACAGAGACAGAATGATTGTTAATGAAAGCCCAAGAGCTGGGGTTATGTAGGTAATTCCCAGTAGTTTTCCTTAAGGCAGAGCAGTGTATTCATCCTGGAGAGTCTGCTGTTTTCTAGGAATCATGAGGGGGAAAAAAGTTAGTACTCAAAACACTTAATCCAAAGGAATAAGTATGAACCTAACTTAGAATACTGACTTTGAGTGTTTAGTCACTGAAAGTGTGACTTGCTATGAACTTTAACTACAGCATTGCTCCTTCTGAGGGAGGATTTGGGTGACATTGTGCATTCCTGGGGTGAAAAGCACAGCACACAGCTCAGTATCACCACTTACCATTCGTGCATGTCCATTTTTAGTCCATGTATTCCACGTCATATTCACCAACTGCATACTTATCCAGCAGGACTCATATTTTTCTAAACAGGAATCAAGTTATTTGCTTCTGGAGATGGCAGGAGTTCCTTATGCTTTCCTAAAATCCAGGCAGGTCTTACTCTGACCAGGTGGAGCAATTGTCTTTGTAGGCTTTAGTGTGAAACCAAAAGCAGTTTGCATCCAGAACCACACCACTATCATATCCAAAATGCCTGTTTTCATCCATTTAGTCTTGCCTCTACCTGTCTTGATTCCAACTTTGCCTCTGCTCCAGCTGGTGGAATGTGTTTAAAGTCCTTCCCCTCCCAAAACTCCTCGGTTCTCACAGCTCCCTTTGCCTGGTGTTGTGCAGCTGGCTGTGAATCCTGCCTGGCCAGGACAATCACAGCTCCTCCCCGAGCTCCAGGGTCGTTTGGGAGCCTGGCTGCCCCTGGAAAGGGTCTCCAGGGTGGAAATTCAGCACGTCTGGGCAGAGGCTCTTGGGAGAGACGAGGAGTGATGTGCAGTGAAGGAGATAAACCAGCAGTGCTCCTGCTCCCTGCTGGCCCCACCCCAGCAGGTAAATCAGGGATGCAGTGCTGTGCTCCCTGCTGGCCCCACCCCAGCAGGTATATCTGGGATGCAGTGCTGTGCTCCCTGCAGTCCCCATCCCAGCAGGTAAATCTGGGATGCAGTGCTGTGCTCCCTGCAGTCCCCATCCCAGCAGGTAAATCTGGGATTATGGAGCCCCTGTCTCTGCTGTCCCCATCTCC